GCGCCATCTTCAGTGGGAGCAGTCTTTGGATCCTTCCTTGGGTGTGAACACCTTCGTTGAGATCCTACTCCTTTTGGTTTAGATCTGGTTCAGTTTATGGTTCAAGATTGATTTTTGAAAATATGATTTTCTAAATAGGGAATGTGATTCCCAGTTGAAGGGAGAGAAAAATTTTTGAAATTCGCCCCTTTATTCCACAAGATTTGGGCGTCCATACGATGAATCTCTCATCCCTTTCAGATTTGTCTTAATAGGAGTGGTGGGAAGAGGAGATGTGAGAGAGCCAAGGAGAATGCAGAGTGAGTCCAGCTTCAGTCCAGGCACCTTCAGTCAGGGCACCGTTCGTGCAATTGGAGGATCCACCACGCATCCTCCAATTTGTGTAAATGTTTGAAGCATGCAGGAGAAGTTGCAAGGAAAACCCATTTTTTCCAATCTCCTCCCCTCCTCTCCTCTCCTCTCCTCTCCTCTCCTCTCCTCTCCCTTGAGTGTCACAGGGACTTGTTCTCTTCTCCCTCTCACTCCCCCCACCCATCCGACAGCAACTTAACAACCATTACCGCCGGAGACAAGCAACCATCACCAGTGGTAGGATCAACCTTAGGTATTGTCTTCTTTGCATCTCTTCTTCTTCCATGAAAACTAACCCTAATTGGATACCAGCAACCGGCAACATCATCACCAAATACCCGATCGTCGGATGTTGTGCTCCATCTGAGGAATTGATCTGATGTAAGCATTATCGCTTCAAATTTCTAGGCACTTTACCATTTAAAATTATAGTTAGGATTGAATTGAAGCACTAAAAAGTGAAAGCTTTCATTTTTGATCCTTATTTGAGCTTTTGTACATGGAGCAAGAATTCAATGTCCCATCAATAGTGTTTCCTTCTGGAGCATTCCGCAGCAGCGACGAGTCCCAATGGCACCATTCCAGCCGCCGGTGATGATTGTTTGTCACCGACGATAATAATTGTTAAGTCGCCGCCGGGTGGATGGGGGGAGAGAGAGGGAGAAGAGAACGAGTCCTTATGACACTCAAAGGAGAGGAGAGGGGATTTGAAAAAATAAGTTTTGGTTGCAACTTGCAAACTAATGACATGAAACATCCCCCACATGCTTCAAAGGTTTATATGGTGCATCCTGAGTAAAGGTGCCTGGACTGAAGCCGGACTCATGCAGAGTAGGGGTTGATAGATAAATAGATATGTTCATAGAAAGTGAGAGAGAGAGAGTGTTTTTTGACATTATATATTTTTAAATAAACATGTCATTTACCTGCATATAAAATAGCATGCTTCATCTTGTATATATACAATGTATTTGTGGGTGCCCCATATATGCTCCAGCAATGCCAATATGATTTGATAGGAAAAGAATTAATGGAATAAGGTGGTTTTGGAATGTCTCAAGAATCCAAAAATTGCCCGGTTGTCGACTGAATGTTGGACATATTTTACGTATGTATGTATATATGCCCACTTTTGATAGAAAGAGACCACCAAATTCTTTTATTTATCTTTTTATTTCTTTCTAACGATATCATTCAAAGCATGTTTTATTTTATTTGGTGATTGATGAGGATGCAGAAGAGACAGTGGCACACCTTGTTTGACTGCTTCAATCCAAGTTATTGGTTCTATAAGTTTAATAGAAAATAGGTTTCTATCTTTTAATTATTTTTTAAGTCAATGAATATCGAATGAGTGGCTCGCAGCGGGGTGAGCAAGGGATACAATCAGAACATCCGCATCTGATTAAAAAAATATTTTTAATCGATATTAAAAAATAGAATAATAATTACAAATATTAATGTACTAATAATAAAAACATTATTTTAATTACATCAGTTAGTAATTCTAGAAAATAATTTTCACAAAATTTGATATTTATTAATAATAATTTTAAAATCTTAGTCTATATTTATATATACTAAAATTTATATTTTTTGTATTTTTACTAATTTTTTATTATATTTTTGTAATAAATATATTTTTAATAATTATGTATAAATCTATTTTTGTTTTTTTATTTAATCTTGAATTTTCAATAATCATTAGAATTTGGAGATTAAATTATTGTTATTTATTAGAGATTAGACTACTAGTTTAGCTAAAATTAAGAATGTTCACAGGTTGGTTTGATTTAGTTGTAGGTTGTTTGGCCAACCAAATTGACCTATTCGGGTTGGGGAGTTGGTCACCCGAAACCAATCGAGCATTAGTGAAAAACCATCCAACTCAGGTTATATCGGTTTGGTTGATTGTTCAAAAGATTTAAACTTAAAAAATTAAATTTAAAAATGCAGTGGTCTTATTAAAAAAATTAATTAAAAATACTAGAAATTGACCCGACCTGGTCAGGTTGGGAAATTGCTGAATTGAAATTCACAAAAAAAAAATAGAAAATTGACCAACTCAGGTCGAGTTGGGCCAGGTTGGTCAGTTTGGTCAATTTGGTTGATTTCATTGGTTTGATGAACAACCCTAGCTAAAATTAATTATTGTTATTTTTTATTGTAAAAAATTATTAAAAGTTTGTATGAAATATAACTGATTATTAATTAATTAAAAAGTTAAAATATAAAATAATTGTCTACTACTCTTATATGCTTTTTTATTGTTCAGCTTTTGCTTAATAAAACCCGTGCATCACACTGGTAGTAATGGCCTGTTTTCACGTTTTCACTACCTAATTATTCATGATAAATACACATCTCAACTGCATGATGATTCATGAACCGACCGGGGCCTAATCAAATTCCATTTCTTTCATCAATTCCACTTTTGGACGCTGCAATCAGATATTTTTGCTTCCTATTTTAACATGCAAACAATATGGGATGTTGATTCATACATCCCATTTTTACTTATTCAAATATCTTATGCATATTAATTTGCCAATCAATCGATGTCATAAAAGTGGTGAACAATCAGATGGTATTGGTAAAAGCTGTTTTTAGTACCTGTACAACAATGAAATATAATTCGATCGACGTCCAAACACTGTCTTAATTCTTAATTCTTAGTTGATGAGCTTTGCTTTCTAGCAAGCTAAAAGAGTCCCAATTATATGAAGGGCCGAACGTGACTAGCTATGATTCATAATTGGGATATGTTTTATGATGCCAACTTTTTACTGAATGAAACCTTCTTTTGGATTTTTTTTTCCTGTCTACCTAAACCAACAACCTAAACTAAATATCTTGACCAGACATCTATCTCAATGTCCAAATTACCCCCCGCCATTTCCAGGAAAGAATCCTACGTCCCTCCTCTCCAACCTCATCCAATCCACTTGGGTTGCTGGAATCTGAACCAGGTTAGTTTCCATCATTTTCATGAAAAACTAGAAAAACGAAGAGGAGAAAAGCCAACACATCCCAGAGAGAGGCAGAAAAGGACAAGCGCATGGGTGCCATGTTCTCCTTTTCTACAGCGTTGTCGCTAATATGAGCTCGAACTCGTCTTCACATGGGCCCCGCATAAACGAGAATCGTAGATAATTACGTATTCAAAACGGGGCGAAGTAGGGACATGTTACCAACACAGCGCTTCCAACAATCTTCCAATAGCCGCACATTGAGAATATCTCCGTTTTTGTTGGAAGATTGTTGGGAGCAAATTGTACCACCACCTTCGGCTTTCGGATCATGATCAATGTCTGTGTGATGTGCGGATACAGATTATGTTGGAATACAACATAGTTTTTGCTGCGAGCTGATCCCACTCCATTCGGAACGATTCCTGGAGGTCCAAATAAATTAATAAATAAATATAAACTCGCGAAGAAAGTATAATTAGAATTAAAAATAAAAAACAAAGACCGAAAATTTCTGCCGGGTTTAGTCGAGCCAACAGCTCTGCCTGCTGCAAAGCAGACAACGAAAGAGACTCCATCTAACGGCAACGTCAACTTGCAAACGTTTTTCCGTTACCTCCGAAGAAAAACGCATTCCGATCTCTTGGTTAAAACTTTAACCACGGTTAGGTTAACGAGAAAGTGAGAGAGAGAGAGAGAGAGGCATATAATAGAACGCTCGGAGAGCGGTTTCTAGGATTCCGTAACGGCGTTTCTGGTTTTCTCACGGGAGTGAAGACAGAAGACTGAAGAGAGGAGGTGGAAGGAGAGAGAAGGCTGCTGCCTGGTTGATTGAAGCAAGAGAGTAAGCCGCTTTGGCTTTGGTGGGTTTGGTAGAGCGAGGGCGGTTTCATAAAAGCGGTTTTGGAGCAGGACAAGACAAATCAGATAAGTGGTTTTATAACCGAAGCGAAGAGAAGATTCACGTTTTTCTCGTTCGGATCCCGAGATCTTTAGTCTTGAGTGAAAGAGAGGGAGTTTCACAAACCGAACAGTCGGGGGAGGTTCAATAAAAATCTAAAAACGGTTTCGTGCTCATTCAATTCTTTTTTCCTTCCTTTTTTTCTTCGTATAAAATGGGGTAGATTGTCGTACATGGAAGGTATTTGAGGTCTAATTGATTGATAGAGCAGCGATTTTAATCGAGCTTCGGTAACTGATTTCATGGCGTATGGAGATAGCTGCAGAGGCCCCACGATTTCGCAACCGAATTTCTCGGGTGAACGGCCGGAGACAGGTGAAATGACTGTTGATATCTGGTTTACTGTGATTTTTGGTAGTTTTCCGGTGAAGTTTTGTTGTTTTCCTGGAGGTTGTTAGTGCTTATTATCTTTTAATGTATTTTATATGCTTTGGTGCAGACGATCTCTATGTGGAGCTATGGAGAGCTTGTGCAGGACCTCTCGTCGACGTTCCTCGGACGGACGAGAGGGTTTTCTACTTCCCTCAAGGTCACATGGAGCAAGTAAGTTTTTTTTTTTCTTTTTTTCTAATTTTTAGTTCTACTCCTATTTTCCTGGTTTTGCTTGCTCAAGAAAGTAGCTTCTTTTCTGTGATTTCTCACATCACTTTAATATGTTCTGTTCTTTATGTATTTCATCGGTTTTTGTTTATGTTTTTACAGTTGGAAGCATCAACGAACCAGGAGTTGAATCATCAGAACAATTTGTTTAATCTTCCTTCAAAGATACTTTGTCGCGTTGTTCACATTCAGTTACTGGTATCCTTCTAACCAATATTAGCTTCACCTGGCTCTTTTTCTTTTTCAAGATTTTTTTATCTCTTCGGGTTTTCAGGTGGAACCAGAAACAGATGAAGTTTATGCTCAAATTACCCTACTTCCGGAATCAGATGTAAGTTATTTCTAACCATTTTTCTGTCTCTGATCTTGTTTTTTCATTTTTAACTCTGATTATAAGAGTGGGTGTGTATGCCTATATATTTTTATTTTAGTTCTGAGTTTTTTTTTTTTTTCAAATGAAATTTCTGCAGCAAAATGAGCCGACGAGTCCTGATCCATGCCCTCCTGAACATCCAAGGCCGGCTGTTCATTCCTTCTGTAAGATCTTGACTGCATCTGATACAAGCACACACGGCGGGTTCTCTGTTCTGCGTAAGCATGCCAACGAATGCCTTCCTCCTTTGGTACTTTTCCTTCACTCTTTATTCTTTGGATCTTCTTTTTATTTTCTTCTTTCGTTCCTCACCCTGGTTCTGCCTTCTGCGACTTTCCTTTCCCAAGGACATGAACCAGCCTACCCCAACGCAGGAATTGGCCGCTAAGGATCTCCATGGTTATGAGTGGCGATTTAAACACATCTTCAGAGGTAATTGATTATGCCTGAATCCTCCATTTACTCTTGCACCCAAGACCTACAACGATGTTTCATGTATCAAGGCACTAGATTATTTCTTAAACCATTTGAAACAAACCGAGTAACAATAGGCAAATGGTATTTACAATTAACTATTCCAGGTCAACCACGGAGACATTTGCTTACAACAGGGTGGAGTACTTTTGTTACCTCTAAGCGACTGGTTGCTGGGGATGCCTTTGTATTCCTTAGGTATTTGATGTCGGATCTGTATATTCTTTCCAAAAAATACATATTTTTCTTTTTTCATCTAGTTAGGATCCAACCAACTAGGGGTATCATCTAGTAGCTTTGCACTTGAACTAAAAGGGCTGATTGTGTAGAGGGGAGGATGGCCTACGTGTGGGAGTCAGACGTCTTGCTCGTCAGCATAGCACCATGCCTTCCTCAGTCATCTCCAGCCAGAGCATGCATCTGGGAGTGCTCGCTACTGCATCTCATGCAGTAGCTACGCAGACCCTTTTCATTGTCTACTACAAGCCAAGGTTAGAAATGTTCCTAAAGAAGATGTTTATGATTATTTTAAAATCTTGTTGTTACTTCATTCATTTATTGATTTTTGCTTTGTTACTAATCTTCATGGTTTTCTCCAGAACAAGTCAATTCATCATAAGCTTGAACAAATATTTAGATGCTGCTAACAATGGGTTTTCAGTTGGTATGAGATTCAAGATGAGATTTGAGGGAGAAGATTCTCCCGAGAGAAGGTATTTGATTATTTATACGTGTAGGAAAATATGCATCAGAAGTTCTTTGTTTTCTTTTTCGTCAATAAATTTAGGGGTATTCAAAATTTTGTGCATTTTGGTTGATCAGGTTTACAGGCACAATTGTTGGGGTTGGAGATGTATCTTCCAATTGGAAGGATTCTAAGTGGAGATCATTGAAGGTTTAATGTTTTCTCAAATAATACTATTCTTTTTCTTGTTTGTGACATTTGGGACATTTGAATCTTAACGTTTTGTTCCTTTATAGGTGCAATGGGATGAGACAGCATCCATTCAACGACCAGAGAGGGTTTCTCCATGGGAGATTGAGCCTTTTGTTGTGTCTGTCCCTCCGAGTCTAACTCAACCAGCAGCCATTAAGACCAAGAAGCTCCGACCATCAGTAGATCTCCCTGTTGGTACTGGAACTTCTCCCGGTTCCCCTCCTATTCCACTTTGCAAAGAATTGGATATTTTTTGACATGTTTCACTTGTAATGTAGAAAGAGCCACCGGTCCTGCCACCTCAGCATTTTGGTACCCTGGTTCAACCCAGTCCAATGACCTTGCACAAATAAGTAGAGCTGAAGCACAGGGAAGTGAAAACCAAGTTGGCTGGCTTCCTAAGCAGCAGAAAGAAATAAAGGGCAATGTCATAAACAGCAACAGCAGCTGTAGTTCAAGGACGACCAGCAGGCCAGAGGGGGGCTGGCCCTCTACACTCGTGAATGTTTCTTTAAGTCTGTTTCAGGACAAAATAGATGGCAAAACATGGTCAGTCCTCTCAGGGTTTCCAACCCTGGACCCCTCGAGGTCAACCAATAGCACGTTGCTTGACCCAGTGGAAAATGGGAAGAAATCTGAGCCATCTGCCGGTTGTCGGTTGTTTGGGATTGAGTTGATAAATAAATCTAGTGTCTCTACTCCAGACAAGGCACCTTCGCGTCCAGAAAGTGTAACTAGTGCGACTACTGAAGGGCTTAACCCAACCACTGTGTCTGTGTCATCGAAGGAGATTCAGAGCAAGCAGATTTGCGGTACTTATGCCAGAAGTCGCATAAAGGTAATACTAGAAACTGAATATGGTGTTGGTGTGGGGATAAAATGAAAATGAAAAGCACGGTGCTCCATTAATGGTCAAAGTCTGATCTTTTGTGGTTGGTGTTGAAGGTGCATATGCAAGGACATGCAGTTGGTCGGGCTGTAGACTTGACTGTGTTGGAAGGCTATGATCAGCTTATAAATGAACTGGAGGAGATGTTCCAGATTAAAGGAGAGCTCCGTCCACGGAATACATGGGAAGTTGTCTACACTGATAACGAAGGAGACATGATGCTTGTGGGTGACGACCCGTGGCTGTAAGTATCCTTTGCTTGATCATGGATGGTTGTTGTTCACTGCCTAATAATTTTTGAGCTGAATGCTTCTATCTCCGCATCTTAAAACTTAATCCCCTGTTTACTAGACGTCGTCTTTACATTCTTTTTTTTTTTTGGCAGGGAGTTCATTAACATGGCAAGGAAGATTTTTATCTACTCAAGTGAAGTAGTGAAGAAGATGAGTCCAAGAAACAAGATTCCCACATCATCTCTGGAGGGTGAAGGGACTGTTGTATACTTGGATTCAGACCTAAAGACTGAGATATGAAAGATTAGTTTCTTTCATGATGTCTTTTTTTTTTTTGAATTCTTTTTTTTTTTATTTTAGTATCATTTGGGCGTGTCTAACTTGGAGGGAAAGGTCCGAAAGGAGAGGGAGGTATTGGCTAATTTGTAAAGGAGGAGGAGGTTGATGATGATGATAAAGGGCCAAGTCAAAGTAGGATGGGTTAGGGAAGGGAGTAGGCTTGGTTGTAGGAGGTAAGATGTGAATATCATGCTCGTCTTGTCTGGGCAATTTATGTGCTTGTAAATATAATATATAATCTGCATTTGGTGAGTGGAAAAATGGGTCCTAAACTCCTGTCCCGGGTATTGGGTTGTAGTTCAATAATCGGAGGCCCAATGAATAATAACCCGGGCCCATTAATGGCTTACCACTGCAACGAATCAAAAGAATGAAATTTGTGAAGTAAAAAAGTAATTGTGTTTTACAGTGTGTGATAATTAAATTTAATGGTTAGAACTAGAATATAATATATACGAGGGTATCAACTTCTAGGGCCTCAGGGTGAGGCAGTAGTAGATAGTATACATCATCCACTTCAATTAACTGTCCATGATAATGCTAATAGTAATAAGAAAGAGAGGATCGTGTGACGTATATATTGAGGGTATGGTATGGATTGGCAGTATTTGCATCTCACACCTCATAAGTAGGGACAAGAGGTAGGATGCTGGAGAAATGCGGGATGGGTCATGGGTTATGGGCCATTCGATGGCCCACATAATAGGGGGGTGCATAAAATAATAATCAAAATCCCGTGGCCGTGGCGGCAAAAGGAAGCAATGGCACGTCCTAGGATCAGAATCATCAGATTAGAGAGGTGGGGGTGCAATTGACTTTTGAATTTTGTTAGTTGAGTTTTCCTTGCCGGGCTCTCACTTGTTATGGCTTGTGTCCTTGGGTAAATTTCACTTTTCAGGAAGATTACTTCAAAAGGAATTAGGTCTTGTCAAGCAAGAAGCAACTAATTATGCTGCTGCTTCCACCCATGACCCACCCCAATTTAAAGGTTTTACATCAAAGTCGGTTAAATTCAAAATAACAAATTAATACACACACATGCACACTTTCTTTGAGAGTGACATTAGAGAGAGATAGAGTGCTGAAAATGACATGAATGTGAATTCTTAGAAATGTGCAGAGGAGGCAAGACAGCTCCCTACTTCATTTCTCTCGTACAGGAACAGGAGAAGAAAAAAAAAAAAGTTGAATAAACGGAAATGGTCATCCTTTTCCTTCCAACTAACTGTCCCACCGTCAATTGCATTACTGTTGTTAAAGTTGGCTTGTAGTTGGATATATTGACAAATAGACCCGAGCATTGTTTATATAAAAATCATACATAAAGGACATCCCACCCTATATTTGGAACATCCCCCATGAATAAAGCAGATCTGGATTCTTCATTTTCATAAATATCCGTTATGTTTAAGGCTATTTGATTTCTGAACAGTTGGATGGGTAAACTTTGGCTGTTTGCACAAAACAGCCCCAGGCTATTTGGTTTCTCCCCAAGCATGACATGTATTCACCACCAATAGTTCAATTTAACGTTGACATTAAAAGCTCAATTTGCCTTCAAAATATGCCAGTTAGTCGTTTGAATGGATTAATTGTTTAATCACTCACCGGCAATTGTTTAACATTATTGAAGATGCAAAGTTAGACCAATATTTGTTCAACACCAGCCCAAAGTGATTGAATGAGTACCCGTTGAGGTGAAGAACCATCGTATTTGGCATCGGAAACAAGTTCCACCAAGAGAAAAAAAAAACATGGAAGGGATTGGGCGGAAGGGATTTGGCATCGTATTGCCATGGGGAGGATTTTTTGAAAATAAACGGTATTTTATTTTTTGTTTACTTATGAAGGCAAATTGAACTTTTCACGCTAGCGTTACTTGAAATCAAACAGCCAAAGGTTTCCCAATTGGATGGACATGGACCATTCCGTCAAAGCTATAGAAGTGTAGAAGTAGGGGGAGTAGGGGTGGGCTGGTGGAATTGGGATCTTCTGCCAATAGAACACATTCCACATTCCAAAACTCTTCTACACTGCACACAATGAGACCTGCCATGCATAAGTTGTGTTGCCATATCATGTTGGTAGGGTGTGTCAATGAATTTGGTTGGTTTAGCATGGGTTTTAAAACCGGACTGGACCGGATGGTCGGACCAGAAAAATCGGGAACCAGTCACCTGACCTTGGTTAGCAAACCACTGAACTGGCTGGTTAATCGTTCGAATGGTTTTGACCGTTTTTTTTTTTATTTTTAAAATTTTTTTATTTCTTGTCAGAACGGGCCCGAACGGTCCAATAACCGGACCCTTGACCGATTCGGTCACCGGGTCGGTTTTTAAAACGATGGGTTTCAGAGCTAACGTTTTTTTTTTTTTTCTTCTTGCGTCTCAATGTCCTCTCACTTGGGTAGGAATCTGTTACCAACAAAATACTTTCATTATTGTCCCATCAAATCATTGCAAGCTGTAGATCTGCTACCAACATAATGCTTCCAAAACTGTCTCAACAAGCCATTGCAACCGTTCATTGAAAACATCTCCCCATAAATAGCATGAGGAGATGTTGGGAGCTGATCATAACTCCCATTTGGGGAGCATTAGCCATCTCTGTTTCAATTTATGTTGGTTTATATTTCTGTATTGTAGTTGGTAGAGCAGACCAGAAAAGGGGGTTGCGTTCTATAAACATTCAAAATGTCAAATACCCCATTCAATACACCAAATTTGGGCCTAAAATTTCTGACCCTGGGCTGAACCGTCAAATTGAAAAATGACATGACTGTAAACTGTGAGGGGACGTGGGAATCAATATTCTGCTGGTGTACAATAAGTTAGTTGATCAAGAATCAAGACATTTCGCTTTTCGAGGATTCCACTTCCTATTTCTATCCATTGGGCTCCTTTGGAGAAGAAGGCATTTTACAGAGAATTTTGACAAATAAATAAAAAGGCAATGTTTTTGAACTGCCATTGACCTAGATGATCGAACCATTCGGTCTGGGAACCGCTCAGGAAATCTGTTCTATTTCACCTTTAACCTGATCCTTTGCCAAAAATTGTTGATTTGGTCAGCAACCTGCTGACSCAAGTGGTCAACCCATTCAACAGTTTTAACCATTTTTTTATTTTTTAAATTGAAACGGGCCATTTATTCAAACCAAATGGTTGAATCATCTACCCAGAAATAGGTGGTCAGAATTGGTTCTGATTCCAGATCAGTTTTTAAAACATTATAAAAAGGCGGAAGAATGGGATCTATAGTTCTATATTTGATTTTAAGAGTTTTAACTGTTCAATCCACCCCCTATAAATTTTAGCTCCACTCTAGCACAACAAAGAGTTGGGGAAAACGTGTGGTTGAACAAATATCACTGAGAATGCCAGGGGTTAGGACTGGGACCTGGTACCCTCCCCGTCATTCCGTCTCACTCTAGCACAAAAAAGAGTCGGGGAAAACGTGTAGTTGAACAAATATCACTGAGAATGCCAGGGGTTAGGCCCTACCCTAAAACCCCCATAAACAACCCCCAACTCTGGTGCTGGTGCTTGCAGGATTCATCCCAAATTTTACTCCAACCAGAACCAACCTGAGACCACCTAACCAATTACCCAGCACCTAATAACCACCTGATCCGTTACTACTTTTTTTTCCAGTTTCATTTTTGATACCTATTGATTAGTTACAATTTTTTCTAGTATCATAATCAAATCCTCGTTTTTATCCTATCACTACTTGAACAGTTGAACAGGCACATAGCCATACCAGGTACCGACACGATGCCCAATACTCGTATTTTGAATACCAAAAAAAAAAACTCTCATTTTGATCCTTGCGTGCCCCACAAGTGATGTTTTAAAGTAATATTTTATGTAAGAAAGCAACAACATACTCTGGCGTTATGTGGCTATGTGCTGAATTCACATATTCTGCGACATTGTATGGAAAACATAGCAATTAGCAACAACGATGACCAAATGTTTTTTCATTTTTATTTCTGTTCCCCTTACCCATCATCTTATTTCAAATTTCAGCTCTTGGTTCAAAACTGACTTGACATTTTATGTTTCTTGTAAAAGCAACGGTAGGCCCAGAGTCGCCCAAATCTTTAGGAAGTTTCCTACAAATTTTCATTTTCCGGCCAAAGGTGATGACTTGAACAAAGTTATGTCATGTATAGAGTAGAGATATGTACAGTAGGGCAGAATAGCCTTCCAAAGCAGGGGGAGGAAAGAATTCTACTTCAAAACCTACTCTTTAAGTCTTAACGCYATCATAGGCTCGAAATGGTCTTTGCTCAGATTTTACATCAACTGTTCTATATCTCAACACGGCAACACTTTTTTTTATAATTTTTCCTGAAAGTATTATTATTTATTATACATAGAAAAGTGCTCTTATTAGAATCAAGGAACACCAAAAAAAGTATAGATCGATCAAGTAGCACTCTGAAACTACAAGGGACCTTTAATTAGGTTCATCAAACCTTAAATTACCCAGAAGGAGTGAGCTTCTTATTCCCTGCACCACGCGGATGGTCATCCTTCCAATCGTCCCATGCCCTTGCCTTCTCTTGAGCTGCTTCATCGTCATCATCCTCATTACTGGGCCCAGGCCTTTGAACATCCTTGTGCCATGATGAATTGGCTTCTTCAAAGAGCTTAGCATTCCTCTCTTGCCATTTCTTCATCATTTCCATCTCTCGTAGTCCAGCTTCTTCTATGCTCATTGTTGGCAACCTATCAACCCAAAAGACAATGATAACTACTGAGAGTTACGCCTTCCCATCTAAAATTTGGTAACATAGGATTCCAGTTGGATCATATTTTTGAAAATTGCTATGTGCAAACACAGAATATCGAACTTATCCCAATGGTAAACAACATTTAACCGATGGCTTCTATAACAAAGAAGTTTTGCATGTTGAACCAATCATCTAATTTACAAGATGCATAGCAGTTATACCTATAACCAGGTTGGAAAACCTGTGCAGCCATCCTTTCCCTCTCACTTGCTAATCTTCCGCCCACAAGACTAGCAGGTCCAAATATCAATGGTTGGTGTTTGTGTTCATGTGCTTGTGAAACCTTTGCTCTCCCTTCAAGTACATCTTGAGCAAAAGTAGCACATGTGATAGGTTGTGCTGGTTTCGTAAATTGTGCTTGACTTGCAGCATTACGGTGCCAAGCTTCTGCTTTCTTAGCACGCTCATCAAGAATTCCTTGAGAAAATTCTGTCACTCCTTCCTGAAAAAATTCACAAATATTAGAAAAGAGAAAGTGAGAAGAAAAATAATATGCAACAGACAAAAATTGAGAGTTTTTCTTTCTTCTGCGACCCTCTGCATGGAACTCTCTTTTCTCATGCTCACTCATCTGCAGAAGGGCTCTCTCCAGCTGCAGACAGCTCATAGTGGTTTTGCTGAATTCATGCTTCGTATAATCGGGTACAAGCACCATCTTTGTAACACTAATCTGAAACTCAATATTTGGTTTCTATAGATAATACTAAAAATGTTTTTCCTTTACAGCTTAGAACATAAAGATATACATGGACATAAAATATTGTCACCAACATTACAGAGCATAAAGTACCTGTAACTGTTTTTCCTTTACAGCTGATAGCATTTCTTCCTCTTTCTTTAACATTTCCAGTAGATCAAAAGCCTGTAATATCATTGCAATGCAAGAAAATACCAAGTCCCTGAGGTCTTTAGAAGGAAAACCGTGAATGTTTACAGATCGACCAAATTCACAAAATAAAGCAAAACCAACCTTACAGATGGCCAATGAGATTGTAGTAATCCATGCCTGCAGAAAACATACATGTAAATTTAGAGTGGGAAGGAACTTATGTCAAATAAGAACTCAAGTTTTGTCAATGGTAACTTGAAATACTTCTATTGATTAGTTAAAAAGTGATTGTGCAGAAATTTGAAACAGAATTGTGCCAAGCATCTCTTGATAGACTAGCTCATACCAACTCCATTTGCATGTCTCTTTGTTTTGTTACAACATAGAACTTTTCATGTTCAAATGATGAATATATTATTTGACAGACGGCATGTGCAAAATGCATTACTACAGCAGTATTTCCAGATTCATAAAAGACCTGCCACTTAGCAAAGCTCCCTCTGTTCAAATGGTGAACATTTTGGCTTCCTGATGTACACAGTTATAGAAAATCATATGACATCTCTTATTTGCTTATTTGAGTCTGCATGTCAACAAGGGCATAAAACTCTTCCAAAAAAACATACAAGTATTCAGAAGATTCCAGGAGCTTGACTGTGCATGAATCGGATAAAGTCCCAAAGAATAACGAAACTGTATCCATGTTTCAGGTACAAGAGATTCATCAGGAAGAGAAGAAAATAGATCTAAATAGGGTGGTTGATAAGGAAGTCCTGTTAGCGAAGTTTGGGTTTGTTCCTTCTGGGAGAACAAGAATTTGCTAGAAAATTTGGAAATAGAAGTTTGGGAACGAGTTGACAATTATGAAAATGTAAATTAGGAAGCCAGGTTAATGTTTGAACATGATCCCTTGGATGCCATGGATGAAATGACAGATTAAGATGGTTGAATGTTGGATTGTTTGGATTGGATGAGACATTTAATGAGGTGTTTGTGTTAGGAACCTGCCTAACTCAGGGCTCTTCGAGGGAGCCAACCTCCTGAATTCGTTGGTGGGGAAGAGGGAGAGAGAGAGAGAGGGCTGTTGCAAGTGGATTAGTTGTGCTGACGTGGCCTTCTCTTGTAAAACTGACTAACTACTTTCTGTTGTTCCGCTCCAGCGGTCTTAACAATTTGTGGGTTTTGATTGTTTTGCAGTGAAATCCAAGCATCTGGAAAGGTTGTTTTCGCTTATATGTTTCCTTAAGTTTAGAAAATAGTGCCATAAATTCTTCTTAGAATGTTTGCTAGGAGTGCAAGAAGTTGGGTGGGAGGCAGAGATATGTTTATGGGTGATTGGGGTCTGTTTAGTGCCTTATTTTATATTATTAGTCAGTCTGGCATATTCTATTGAGTGCTTGGGCCACAAATCTTGTATACTGCTTGCATAATTTTTTCTTTTGACAAAAATACAAATTCAAACTAACAAGTTAATGAACAGTAGAATGACAAACAGTACTGTACTGTTTTGGGCACAATTGTAAGGGAGTTGGGGCATTCTGGGGGAGAGATAAGAGGTTTTATCTCTCATGGATTTTAAACTGTATTTTTATCAGTTGTACTTACTAATATTTGCTCTTATTAATAAAATTTTGAAGTAATTGATAAAAAACAGTAGAATGACAAACAAAACAACACTGTTGATTATAAAGATTAGCATGATTATATTCAAACTTAACAAGAAAATAAATATCTAACCTCGCGTTCCTCTTCTCCATCATCATCCAACACATCTTCTTCCCCAGCCTCAACCGGAGTAGATAAAGCTGCAGCTTTAGAAGACCGGCCACGACGCTCTTTCCTTTCTTTAATTTCTTGCAGCTTTGATTCTGCAGCCCTCTGTTGTTTAAATCTAGCAATCTAAATTTTCAAAAATCAGAATGAAAAACTCATGGTTACAAATCAATGAAATATGGTGACTCCCATGTTCCACTTCATAAATCTAAATCCAATTTGAATAGGAGCACCCATTTGACAGTCAGGGAAATGTAATATGGTGTACAATGCTACACCACGGCACACTATAGTAATTTCTCAAAAGGGGAACCATTTAGATGCTGGATTTAGCTCTTACAGTTATATTCTTCAGTCTCTTTATCATAGATTTAGATAGAGGGTGGGCCTTGGCATAATGATTAGGTTGCTCCATTGTGACCTGGGTGACCAGGGTTCAAATCATAGAAATAGCCTCTCTGTATGTGCAGGGGTAAGGCTGCATACATCTGTCCCTCCCCAGACCCCAGATTGGCGGGAGCCTCGTGCACTGGGCTGCCCTTTTTTTATCATGGATTTACATAACTCTAGCATGTAGCTAAAATTAGATCGTTGTGATGGCTGAGATTGTTACTGCTAACATAGTTCAGCCCTCCCTTTTCTTTTTTTTTTTTGATAAGTAGCCCTCCCTTTTCTTATTCTTCTTGATTTTCATACAACCAGATAGTTTATTCACATCAGGATTTGCTTTTGGTGCACCAACAAGAATCAAACTCTTAAGCTCAAAAAAGAATTTGGTTATGTTACATCTTGTCTATCTAGTTAATTAAAGAACTCAAAATTACCTTTTTAGCCCTCCGATCTGCAAGAGACTTTGACCCTTCTTGACCAGAAACTTCCAACACCTCTTCAGGTACAAGGTCCATTGCCTCACAAAAGGAAATGAATTCCTAAAATGTACAACCACATTCATCATGACCAACTGAAACAAAACCCTAAACTCAAAATTAAGAAAAAGGGGATTTATTGAGGTTATAAAGGTATATAGCCTTTTTTCACTTTCTCTAAACCTATGATTACAGAGCTCTTACTTTGAGTAATGAAAACTGGAACATTCACCTTCATTTTTCCCTGGGAAGCTTTTAGCACTTGAATTCTGTTATCGTGTGCAACTTTTTCAATTAATTCTGCAAGATAGAAAGGCACCTATAGAGAAAAATCACAATCAAGCACTGAGATATAGCTGAGTCCAACAACATTTAAAATAAGCACTAGAAGGAACAGAAAGACAGGAACATACATGAACAATCATGCAAATTCAAGGTGGACCAACCTGGCTGTACACTATATCAATATCAATACCTTTTCAGGTTCAAGGCTACAGTAACTTAAGCAAGGCCAACCTGAACCCAACTGTTAAAAAGAAAATTAAAAGAGAGAGAGAGAGAGGTTTTACGATGGGTTAAGGTTAGGGTTGAAAAAGTTGAGCAACCTGAGCCTGATCTCATATGAAATGTTTAAGTTAGTCTAGTAAAGGCGTACAGTGAGTCATGCTAATGTTTATCCTACAGTACCAATTGAGGTCAAGGATATATTATTATATTCATAAATTTGAGTTAATATAATATTGATATATGAAAATTAATCTGACCACATAACCCAAATAAGTGCAATTTTGAGTTAATATAACATTGGCATACAAAAAATAATCTATCCACATAGCCCAAATAAGTGCCATCCCAATATCATAACCAATCTACCCAAAAACTCCATACACATACACCTCCACAAGCACACAAAGGAATTTTGGTACTGAAAGAAAACTGTTGAATCAGTTTCTTCATTGTTCCTACAGATTCAAGTTGCTGGAAGATGCTTATGGATTCTTCCATTGAATCAAGATGCATCACCTCTGAAAGTTCTCTTAGATTATATTTTAATCAGCAACAATGATAAAAAAAAATGCTTTATTAATAGTTAGTTGAAAGCCCTTCCTCCAAGGACGAATCAAGGGAACAATAAATAGCCTATAGCTGGTCCAAACAAATATGACATGGAAGATAAATACATACATACATACATACATACATATATACTCAGCCTGATGACAGAAATTCTCTTAAATTGGTAGAGTATGTAAGATGGTAATGTGTTGGGAAAGTAGTGGATGCTACCTGGTTGAGGACAGGGATAAAAGCAGATTATTCTGATAATCTGGTTTAAATTGGTAAAACGAATTGTGGAGTCAATGATTCAAGAGAAGAATGTGTAATTGTTCATATAAGCAAGTAGAGCTAGGGGTGCAACTTGGGGTTTGGTCAAAGTAAGCTGTAGGCAAAGGTACTGACCAAGGCATCAAGCACAACCCTAACCATACATAACAACACAACCTGATCAGAAAAAAACACAGCACTAACCAACCAGAAGAATCTCTAGCTGTAACCTAATCTGACCAACCCAATTTGCTCACTCCATTGTTAAATGAATTAGAAATAAATAAACCAACCTAAAAATATAGATATAAGCTATCACTACAAAAAGAGCCACAAGTCCATAACCCATTATCTTTACCCCTTCCTCTTCATCTGAACCCTAAGCCCTAACTCATTTTGTTCCTAAATCTCCTAACTTGTTCTGTTCATGCTTCAAAAATTCACCAAGAGAAACACAAAAATACTGGTAAGAAAAAGTTAACAGCTCCATGCACCATTAAGAAGGATCCATTTTAAACAAGAAAGAATAAAATATATCAGTTGGGCAGGTGCATGCATACAGCATATTAGTGATCTATTGCCAGGTTTAGTTCAAGTCTTCTGTTTCTTTTGTTCTTTTCTTTTTAAGGTGCTTGGGCTATTCTCTTGACTGAGGTATATCATTTACAATTTGCCAACATTAAAGATACAAAATTTTTTGTCCAACTTTCCATGATAGAACGAACCCATAAAGAAGTCATATTTTTCACAAGCACCACTTGCATAGGATTGGTAGAATGGTGACTTGCCACAAGTTAAGACCATTGGTAACAACCAAAAAAGAACTTCTCCAGGGCCTTAGGTTATTTACGATCGTATGTCCAAGATGGAGGTCACCAGATGAGTTGTACAAGTTCAAGGTTTTAAGTATTGGTGTATTGTAGGTTATCCTTAATCTCTGTGTCTGTGTGTGCAAGCATGGACACATATATGTAGCTGTATAGTTTCTGCAGCTTGGGGAATAGATTCACGATATCTTTGGGCTCCTGATGCCCATCTTGTCTGTCGTCTTATACCATTTCCCCATTGATCAATGACTGACTGAGTGGGCACATCCGGGTAAAAAGACAAAATATATTCCTTATTATAAGGATAAAGTTGATATATATAGGTACTTTTGTATCTTAAGGCATGTAGCTGTTGAGTAATAAGGAGTGTCTCAGTGCGCCCCCCCCCCCAATTAAAAATGAGAAGAACCCAAACTCCACCCCTTAATCTAATACTTCTCCTGAGTTGCCTGGGTTATTCCCGCACCTCCTTTTCATTTTTCTTGTATTATCACGTTTTGCCAACAGAAGTTAGAASTTAGAACTCATTATTAGAATAATTCTTGGTTAGACAAATCGTTCTGAACTAATTCATCTAGACATGCACTATCGGAGAAGAACCCAACTCCCAAAAGAAATTGCAAATTTCATATTTGATGTATTTTCAATAAAGCAAGAGGACCAAAAACTAAGAATGGGTAACCAATACGCCAACTACATAAAACCCCGAGATTTGCAATTTTCTTTATTTCTTCTCACTTTGAAGCAATTCAGTAGGCCACGATTATTTCAGAATTTTAATCATTTCAGCTTATAACATTATAATTGGAAGAAATACGGGAGAAATAGTTAGAAGAAACCGCTTTAGTAATCAGAAATTCGATGAAATATTTAAACATTTCATGTCTGGAAACGGCACGTTGAAAAGAAAAAGTACCAATAAATATTTGAGATTAGCGGTGCTGATTTCGTCTTTGGCCTCGTTGATGGAGAACAAACCCAACTTGCTTGTCATCTCCTCGCATTGCCGCAAAGCGTCGCACCCTTTCCTCAACATCTCCTGAAAATCCCCAAAATGGTATTGAGAGAAATTTTCTCAAAGAAGAGGGAAAGAAAAAAGAACATGACAGAATTTGGGGACAAACTGAGAACATGAGAAAATGGTGTCTGTGAACAAGTTACCTGATCAACACCTGATTCAGAAGCCATAGAATGTATTTTACGTGCCTGTTCGAACAAGGCGGGGAGAGGCATCTCTTCCATCCTCAACTCCCCCAAAGGGCTTAAAATCTCAAAAAAGTACATGCAGAAGAGGAGACGAGGAGAAACACAATAAAACAACGGAAGTGTATCTGGTAAATTCGAAAACAAATCCGAGAGTTCGAATATTGGCTTAAATTCAAAACCCTAGGTTTTTTTTGGGTGATCAAAACCCTAAGATTTGATCGATGGACGGAAGGACCGAACGTCGAAGAAGAATGTCGAAACTCGAAAGTATATACGTCACCCTCAGGATGTGTACAAAGCCTAAAGGAAATGAGACGGGATCTGCTTTATTCACGGGAGATGTGTGCGTGTGAGGCGACTGTGAGGCGGTAGGTGTGAGGAGCAGATCCGATTTCGAAGGAAATATGTAAATTGTACGCACTGGCACGATAAAGTAAGCATGAATTTGATAAATATTTTGACAACTGTCAAAAATGCGTATTAATCTTTTGTAAAGACAAGTTTAGGGTATTATAAGGAACAGGTGTAAAAAAAATTTATAAATGCTCATTTATCTGCTTATAACGTTGTGCCTACCTAATCCAAACTGGCAAATGAGTCCCAATGCGCTGAAAGCGTGTTGACCAATACCACTGCCACACCATCCGGTTTGAATTTGTCGAGTTCACGTTCTGTGAACCCACCAATCAGAAATGAATACTACAACTTAGAAAATTAGAAATCTCCGGTTGAACCGGACACAAAAGGAAAAAAATTCCATTTCCTTCGATCATTTGAGATTTTCAAAGTCCCTCTCATTTTCTTTTCTCCACTGAGCATTCCATCAGAGACCTCACTAGTCACTATAAACCGGCGTTCGTGAACGTAGAATTTATCGGCAACAGCAAGGAATCAATTGCCATGCATAACCAAAAACATCTTGTCCCTCAACCCCCCGATTCAAGTTCTTAATCAGACACCACACCCCAATCAATTGATCATAATTTTCTTTGTTGGATCACATCATCATTAATTCTGCCCATGAATAGTTGTAATTCAAGATCGAGATGAAATTTAAGTTGATTGGTTTTCTAGTATTTTTGATTAATTTTGGTTTAGAAATTTTTTAATTCGATCAAATTAGGGTTGTTTCGATTTGGCCATTTGTAAATTGACCCAACCATAAATATATATTAATATTTTATATTTTAAATTTAATTTTTTTAATATAAGAAAGTGGAAAAAATCTCATATTTCTTAGTCTAAAATATTATATTATAAATTTTATTTTTAACTTATTTTTTAATAGTATCACTGTAATTTATTAAATTTAAATTTAATTTTTAAGTTTAAATATTTTGAACAAACAAATCAAACCGAAAATAGACACAAACCAATACAACCCAAGTTGGTGGGTTTTCACTAATGGTCAACTAGATTTGGGTGACAAACTTCCCACTTGGCCAGGTCGGTTTGGTTGGTGAAATAGCCTACAATTGAATTGAACCAATCCTTGAATACTCCTAATTTCAACTAAATTAATAGTGTAATCTCTAATAAATAACAATAGTTTAACATTTTTAAATTATAAATGTTATCTGAAATTACCACATGCATATTTACTAATTGTTTAAAAAATTGGACTAGATTAATTGGTTGAACCGATTGAACTATGACTTGGGCACTTGACCGATTCAGTCATATCCCTAAAGCCGGAAGTCACAAAAACCATCATAAGCCATCATTCCAGCCAGTCCAACCAAAAAGCGAAAAACAAGAAACAAGTGGATCTAAACATAACCATTAAATATTTAAACCTAAGAATTAAAAAGAAAAGAAAAGGAAAAAAAAAGAGATAAATTGGCCAAAGTGGGCATTACGTGCGTCTTAATTAGGGATTACCAAGCTCATTGAGAGGCAAACATCATGATGTTAAAGATTGATAAAGGTTGTTAAAAACTTTTGCCGGTTGCTGATGTTAATGAATCAGTCTTAGTACAGGTTTGTCTCAACCCAAATCCAACCTACGAAAAAAACAACCACCTGTAACAAAGGCAAATTTTATAAATGTTTAAATGCTGCAATGTCAACAAATCAACTTTGGTGTGAAGAGCCTCTAGGGCCTCAACAAAAATGTGGCATGAAAATCAATTAAAGCTGATTTGGCCCTAACCCAAAGGGTCGATGTGATAACTTTGCCACTTAACCAAATTCACTGACATTCCTAGTTGCTACTCTTCTTCCGGTGTAAATCTAGAAATCCTAGTTTCTACTTCTAATGTAAATCTAGAACACTCTATGGAATGGTTGATGGGGCACTAGTAATCCATCTGATGTGATGTGGCCGAATTCATGAGCATGTATCCATTTTTATTGAAGTCCATTGTCAAATGTGGACCTAATTTGGGAATTGCTAACAACATGGGTGGAACATGAATCTCGTGAAAACTGGGGGACTAATGTATCCGCATAAATTGGAACGATATTAGAGAAATTGGGGAGGAATACACAAAACCTGATCTTTCGGGTTTCAAACTACGAGTGGTTTCTCTGGTTTTCCAGAGGCTTCGTTTCTCTCGAGACTTCGTCGAAGTTTTACTTTCTCAGCCTTGCTTCGTCTCCTCTTCCGCCTTCGATCCACTTGGGGAGCGCCCCATCTCCTTTTTCTTTTCTAGTTCTCTTATTTTTCTTTTCCCCTTTTTCTAGTCTTTTGAGTTTTTCTTCTTTTTTTCACTCCTTTGCCGTTTGTTTTTCATCCTCTGTCATTCTTTTTCCATCTTTTGTTTCAAATCTTCTGTTGGAAAATGGGGTCATTGTAATTTTGGAGGAAAAGCTCTGAGGTACGTTTAAAAACATTGTCTTTAAAACGTTATTTACCTCTACTCAGTTTTATTGAGTTTGTTATTGGGTTACAGGCAAATCCGTTCACAGGATACAACAGAGCCTTGGGTGAAAATCTGCAACAGGGTTGGGATGTTATGGATTTGGAGGATGGGCTACCCTTGTTATATAGTCCAATTAATGGGGCAAAAAGAAAAAACAAAAAGAGAATATTCTAATATTTCCTAGATCATAGTGTATGTACACTTCGAGAGCACAACATCCAGCCATAGATTGAGAACATCTCCCTATGAATTTAATATACATATAGATGAGATGTTTCAATGTGTGGTTGGATTCTTTTCTCTCAAAGTATTATTCTCATGGTTTTTGCTTGGAGGAGAAATGGGCTCCAAGTCTCATATGGGATTTGAAGAATTTCCACTACATTGGGCACATTCAAATTTCAACAAATTCCCAACCCAAGACAACCCAAGTTGTACCCTTAACCATTCATCAAAATTTACGGCCCATCTAGTTCGTGAAAATAGGGGTTTGGAATTGGAATTGGAATGATTTTTCAACTATTTGATTGGGCAGAATCAGAATCCCATTCCCATTCCCGATGGAATGATATCATTCCCTCCCCCTCCCCGTGGGAATAAAATCTCATTCCAGTTGATTCCAATTTTCATTCCGATTCATGTCTGAACCAAAYAGGTTATGGAAATAGACCATTTTGATTTAGATTTCGATGGATTCCAATTCCAATTCTAACTGTAAACTAAATGGACCCTTAAATTACGAATGATTTTAAACCTTTTCTTCTAAACCTAAAAACACTTTTGAGTCTCTTGGTCACTGTCACTGTGGTGTGCTGGGAATCATATAATTTGAACCACAACACAATCCATGAAATATCCACACTACCTAACACCCCGAACCCCAAGGAGTGTTTGCTAACTACCTCTCCACTCTTTTTTTTTTTCTTGCTGTAAAATAAAATTATGCATTGATTAGATTGCAAATAGCATCAGGAGGGGATCTGGAGTGGTCCCAAATTTGAGCACAATTACAATGTCTAAAGGCAGTAACCAAAGTATGAGCTATATGATTTTCATGACGTCGGATATGACGGAATGAAACAGCACGAAATTGTGAAGATAGCCAAATAATGTTAGCAATTATTTGTTCTGACCTCCAAGAACACTCCATTCTTCGATAACTCAGATTGCTCATCACCACCAAGTTATCACCAAAAACATTAATCTTCTCTTCTGTAAATGTAGTTGGCCAAACACCAGCCTCAACAAATCTACGATCCCCACCCAAAAATTACCAAACAAATAGGACGTTGTTGGGTCAGATCTCGAGTGTCCAGAGTGTCTTGAGTGGGTCCAGTACTGGTATGAATGCCAATTTAGTGGTGACCCGAACCAAGTAACTCTTGCAAGGTTGCAACTCCAAAATAGATGTTCTGCATTTTTCAATCTCAGAGTCAGAGCAACCCATTATGTAAGTAATATTTTCGACAGGAATAGATGAAGCCTTGGGTAAACCCGTAATCTCCAAAATTTGTTCCAGAAAGCAGTGTCACTCATCTGAAACCCAAGAGTAGAAATAAGCTTAATTAAATATATGCTGATTTCACTATAAATTAATTTACTGCTCCGTTCAAAATTCCACAACCACCCATCAAGGACATCTCCCCCTCCTTGGCACTGGTAACTACTTAATAGATTATACTACACCCGGATGAAAATATTCATTAAGAAGCCCTTAATTCCAGTAGTGCTGAGCATCTAGCACGACAAATTAATTGTGTCAGGTACATGAACCATATATAGGCCATGGCAAACAGTAGCTTTAGATATTGTGGGTACCCAAGGGTCTCCCCAAATGCGCATATATAGTGTCTCTCGAGCCAATCTTCTTAAGGCATGAAGCATCCCCTTCCATACCCAACAATGTGATTGCTTGACATTTACGTACGCCAACCGACTTTAGCAGTAGTGCATCATTTCATTGATATACTATTTCATCCTCCGAAAACCAAGGCCACCAGCAATTTTTAGAAGACACACCTTATCCTTATGCCACCCAATTAAAATGGGTCCTTTGAGAGCTAGAGTTGGAGCGCCAAAGAAAACTTCGTAGTACTCTCTCCAATTCCAAGCATATACTAGTAGGAAGTGATAAGACTGACATAATATAGGTGGGAATAGAACTTGCCACATGTTTCACCAAGGTCACCTAAAGACTGGATCTGCTCCTCACAAATGGCGTCTCACATGGACCTCACAYTCACATCTTACCATGCATTAGGAACATCTCCCGTACTTATAAGTTATTATTCACGGGAGATGTTCCCAAGACACGGTGGATGTTCCTGTGACAAAGTACTTGATGAAGACCCCGCTCTGGCACAAACTCTGATGATGCTTCACCGTTGACAAGAACTGAGAAAATAGTGAAAGATACACACATTTGAACCATTCGAATCCAAATATC